CACCCTCCCGCTATATATAAGGGTCTGGTGACTTCTGTTTCAGTGTATCTGAAGAAGTGTGCATTCACACGAAAGCTTATACCCAGAACAAACTTAGTTGGTCCCTAAGGTGCTACTGATTTTTTTTAATTTTTTATTTATTTATGCCGACTGCGTCAGACCAACACGGCTACCTCCCTGAATCTAGAATTTCTGGTAGTTAGAAAGGCAAAGGACAGAGCTGAGAACTATGTTAGCTAGAAGCTGGCAGCTAGCAACTGGCCAGCTGCAGGCTGAGCAACTGGGAGACAGAACAACTGGGGAGTTTTAAATCCTCACTCAGTCATGAAGTCAATAGGGCCAGTCATCTCTCTGCCTAGACACCACAGAGTTACTGTGACAATAAAAATGGAGGGATCACATGTATGGCTTTGAGTCCCTTAGAGGGAAAGTGGGGTATAAATTTAATAAATCAAATGCATTTATTTATTTAACTATTTATTAATTTGGCCTATTCCTAGCGCACTTTTCAATCTTAGAAAAGACTCTCGGGGTAGCTTCTACGTTAAAACAAAACACAAAAACGTTTTTTGGGAGTGGAAGGGGAGCCATTTTCAAAGTTACCGAAATGAAACAGATGTGCAGAGTGAATCTTTTCCTGTGTGTATTTCAGAAATTATTCCAGTGGAGCACAAAACTTCAAAACCGAAAGCAGCCCGAAGCCACATACAAATAACAGGAATAATAAAAACCGGATCTCGTAATAGCAGCAAAAGCAAACTTCGCAATCCCACTGAAAGCACAGGAAGCAGGACACGTTTCACCTGGCGCTTAAAACTTTGCAAGGTTGGTGCCAGGTGAACAGCACCAGAGGGAGGCTTCCATGCGTGCATAAAAAGAGCCTGCCAGATCGGGCCAATGGAGAATTGAGTCCAGCATCTTGTTCTTGCAATGGCCTGCGGGAAACCTTCAGACAGGACCTGAGGTGGGGTTTCAACACATCCAAACCCTGAATCCCACCACCTTCCTCACTTCCAAAGGTAGGGCAATCAGTGGTATTGTAAATTTCAAAGCGCAAGAGCTCATCTCGACAGCCTTCATAGCCATGCCCACCACGAGAATCCAGGCACTGATCCACTTATACATTGACTCACAACACACAGGAGCAGGGACGCAGCGAAGAGCAAGGCTGTAATCCTATGCACAGTTTTTCTGGGAACAAACTACTGAACTCAGTGCTGGCTGCTTAGGTTCAACTTGTGAAACGCACCGAGTTTCAACAAATATATTCCCTCCGCCGAAATAAAAATCTTTAGCTTCTCCTTAGAAATGCAAATCACGACGCAAGGAAGTGTTACTACCATTTGAACTATGTGTGTGAAATGGGAACGCCATCAAAGAAAAGAGGTTTCCAGCCTCCACTTATTTCCCCTCATTCTTGGGGACTTCGTACTGCAATAATCTCATGCAAACAAGCTACAAAGCCCTGTTTAGGGAAGTTTTTCATGTCTGATGTTTTATCGTGTTTGTAATATTCTGTTGGGAGCTGCCCAGAGTGGCTGGGGAAACCCAGGCAGATGGGTGGGGTATAATTAATATATTATTATTATTATTATTATTATTATTTACTTGTCAGAGGAAGAAGAGTCTGCATTGCAGAGGGTTGAATTCTAAGATTCTATTAATTTCTCTGGTGTTCCGAAAAAAGACCAGTAACTTTGCACACAAACACACCCAGTCTTTTCCCTTCACTGTACCAATGGGAAGCACCTCTGAGGAAGATCTGTACAATTTGGCAGGGGAACAGGGGAACTTTTAAATATCCTCACGCTGTCAATGTTACAAGAAAGTAGAGTGAGTTCTCCCTGGAGTGTGGTTCTGCAACAGCTCCAGACAGACTGTAATAACCTTGAGAAAACCCTCATTTAACCCCCCTAGGTGAGTTGGCAATTGGATATTCGCACATGTGCTCTAGCTACTTGCTCTCCATTGAACAAATTATCAGATATGTATATGGTGGGGTCTTTTTTTGGGGGGGGGACTTCTACTCTAAAGTGTTATATGAATATAGTCATGGAAGTAGGACTCCTCTCACATCCTCACTAGAGAATTACATCATGATAACTGAAGTAATTTGGAAAGATTTCCAGGGGGGAAAGGATGTGTGTAGGTAGTATAATGAGATCAAAAAGCGAAGATAAGACAGTGAAGCTAATGTGAAATGCTACTCTGATCAGAAATTACAAGGCTATCAAAAACCCAAGGTTCTCAAAAGCTTTTGACTACGCACAGTAACCTTTACGTCATTACCACCCACTGCTCAGTCCAAAGCCAGTAAGGCTGCCTTTAAGATGCCGAAGATGCAGGTGATTCTGTTTCAATAATATGTCACAACTGATTTAGCATGCAGACCCGTGCCTCCAAATTGTGGGTCCAACTCAATTTAGTCTAACAAGGAGATGATGCAATTTAAATGACCAAAAGGATAGTGCAGACTTTTGTTCACTCATCATACTTACCCCTGCCCTCTCAGATGCTGTTGGACTACAACTCCCATCATCCCTGAACGCTGGCAGTGCAGGCTGATGAGAATTTGGACCCGCAGCATAGGGGACACCATGTTTGCTGTAGCTCATCCTGCAGAGTCCTCTTTACCTAACCAGGCGCCCATATTAAAAGTCCAAGCAAGAATGACATAGCTGAAGCGAGAAAGACTCCACTGGAGACACATTTTTCATTTGTGTGCTACCTTCCATTTTAGATATACAGTGGTACCTCTGGTTACGAACTTAATTCGTGCCAAAGGTCCATTCTTAACCTAAAACCGTTCTTAACTTGAGGTACCACTTTAGCTAATGGGGCCTCTTGTCGCCGCGCGATTTCTGTTCTCATCCTGAGGTAAAGTTCTTAACCTGAGGTACTACTTCAGGGTTAGCGGAGTCCGTAACCCGAAGTGTTTGTAACCTGAGGTACCACTGTAATTGAAATGCAGGCCTGCGTTTAAAGATTCAAGACTTCCCTGACACCCCATGTACTTTGGGCCTGAAATCCCGTGTTGGCCCAGCCTCCGTCCCCTCAGCTTGATTTATGAGGGATCCACCTCAACAAGTTAATTCCCACTTTGGATCTGAACCACAACTCGTGTGAACTTCGCTCTATTCCAAGCAGAGACCTATCGTGTTCCCAAACATGGCAAAAACCCTCCCTGCTACCTGCTTTTTTCCAAACGCAGACCTTGCCAAAGGATGATGAGATGGCTTCTCAACAACCTCCCTGTGGCCTGGATTGTCACACAAAAGGATTCGACACACAATGAAACAGAGAGGCATCGGAAACGCAGTCCCCATGTTGCTTGATTTAACTTCTGGAAATGATATTGTCCCCACTTCCTTATTTCAGTGAGCAATGTCAAGAAGCAGTAGCAGACCTTGTGGAGATGTAGGTGGAGCCTTGCTGCTCTCCCAGCTTCTGAGCACAGCATGTGATGGGCAATTGCCAGAAGGAGAAAGGGGCACAGGGAGAGCATCAGTGCCCCATCTATGCTGCTCCATGGGGCGCTGTCAATAACACTTGTGATAGTCAAGGCCTCTCTGCACGGCTGTTCCCGTTGACTTAGTAAGGTAGGGTCTTGAGAAAGGGGATGGGCAGTAGCAAGGAAGGCCAGAAAAGAATCGAGCCCGTTCCAAACGGGACCTGAACCACGATGGCGTCAGATTTGAAATAATTGTGGTGGAAGTGCAAAACATGTCAATCAAAGCCGCCGCTACGCCTTGATATCTGGCACCCTAACAAGTTAAGACTATAATCCACACTTGTTATTTCTGTCTGAGCAACGGTTCCCAGACAGAAGATTAATGGTGGATACCGGATGTGCAAAATGAATATTTTATGGTATAAAGATGTAAACTGCGCTGCAAGAGTCGGAACTCCGGTGAAACATCTCCCCACAAAAGAGATAATGTGTTGATAAATCAATTACAAATTCCATTATCATGCTTTAGAACAGGGGTAGGATATGTGGTGGTGGGGGGTTTTTCAGGCCAAGGGCAGCTTCTCCTCATAACCAAGCTTTCAAGGAAGGGCAGGGGGGGGGGCAGATGAAAAAGCAGACAGAGCAACAGACATGGCTCTTGTTTCTCAGCGGCGGACTGCATTCCAGTCGTGCAAAGTTTCACCTCCCTGTAGCTTTCCACACACAAATTGACCCATGCAGGCAAGCAAGAGGGAGTTCAAGGACACACGCCTACAAGGGCAAAAGCACTTGGGGATGGTGTGGAAAAGGGCAAGTAAGGGGAATGACCTGGGGTGAATTTTTAGGGTGAGACAGAGAAGCCTGGAAGGCCAAATTCAGCCGCTAGGCCCAAGTTCACCACTCCCTGCCATAGGTATATTTTGCATATCAAGGAAAAAAACAAAACATGTAGGAATACAAATATTATGTAGGCAACCATACTATGCCACACTGGTGCACTCTGCATTCAAATTCATTTAAACGACAAAACATATTTTAAAGCATTAGCCATTAAATGAAAATAAACTGCAAGAGCTACACAGATTCATTTTCATTCCACTACGCCACTATTTCCGAAGCGATGCAGTTGGGCCACAGTTAACATTTTCTTATAAGAACGGAGCATAAGATATCAAAAGAGAGAAAAGCAGAATGAGGATTTGCTTGGGAAAGCTTTCCCAAGAGTTTCAAATTTTTACATAGGAAATCAATTTGCATCACCGATAATATTGTTCAAATCAGATGACACTGTGTGGTTAGAAGGTAATTTACTTTGCTGCCGAAGCAATTTGATAGTTGTTCTGATTTGTGATTTTCATTTTGTTTGTTAATGAAAAAAATTAATGAGCAATGTTACTGGAAGTAGAACTCGAAGCCGCAGCATTATTAAACATGTTTTCAATATACTGTACATTATGTTGATTGCACCGCCAGAGTCTGAACTTTTGCAGCGCAAACACCAGTCAATCAATCTGATGTGGAATTTGCAGGGAGGACTTTTGGCACTTACCTTTGCACTGATTTGTGTTTTTGTCTAGAATTGCTTTTGTGGATACAATTTTTCCATACCTGAAAAACAAAAGTTGGGGAGAGAAATAGGGATGTTCATTTTATTGTTGTTTCAAACCTGATCCAGTTGTCAAGCATACTTAAAAGAAAAGGAGACTTAAGTGCTCCTGAAAAGTGCAGCACAAACAATATTGTATGGTAATGTCCTGCATGCTGTATTTGCATTTCTCACCTGACCTTCAAAAGCTACCCTTACAAAGGTGGTTAATTTTCTATGCTTGCACTTTGATAATCAACAAAGAGACCAATTACAGTGGCAGATTTGGGGGATGTCAAGGCAAACAAAGATGTTTTTTTCCTGAGTGTTTATTAGAACAGGCTAAACCTGTGTTTTTTCCCTTGGTTAAATGAGATGAATGGGTGATTTTCCAAGACACAGAATGGACCACTCTCTGAAATTGGCAATGCCAGAGTGGAACATATGGGAGACTTTCAGCAGCCAGCCCAAGGGGATGCCTGTTTTCGAAACACACCGCATTGATTTGTGTGCAATTGCGCATGGAGGGATTTTTAGATTTTTGGGGTGGAAATGGTGACTAACGGAAGAGAACATTATGGAGGTTTGTAAAATTATGACTGGTGTGAATGGAGGGAATTTTTTCTCCCTCTCGAAATATGAGAACTTGGAAGGTCGCCAGATTGCATTTATTTCTTGACTTAGCACCATGCCATTGCCACAAAAGCTGTGCTAAGAAAGGTACAATCAAAAATCACCATTGAAACAAAATTAAAAGCTATTTCTAAAAATCAATAAGTCTAAAAATGCACTTAAAACCAAATAACTGCGTACCATAAAATTAAATCAAGAAACCTTCAGCCAATACTAAATGCCCTCCCAGTTTTTAAATAGACACTGAAACACGAAGAGAGAAGTGGCCGGACACAATTCTGATAGAAGTGAAAGCTGGAATTCCACAAAAAGGGCTTATATTTTTTTCTTCTTCTGGAAGATACTGTCTGGGGCTGATGGGAGTTGGAGTCCAGCAACATCTGGGAGGGGACCACATTGGCCACCCCTGCCTCAAACCATGTAGCAACTCAAAGGTCATTGTCAGCACTCTGAATTGGAACTGGCTGGTAGTAGGGTACCAGCAAAGGCAATGCATTGTGGGATTTCACCACCCAAGATGCCTGCTTCAGTGCTTCTCATGGGCAAGGCTGACCCTGCCCTCAGCGCTACCCAGCACACAGGTTAGGAGAGACATTGGCCAACAGTTGGGCTAATAGGATCCTTGCTCTGTCCTGTGCAAAATCCTGATATTCTGCAACCAATAAAGTTGTGGTCATGTTTAACCTACACATGCCCCATCCTGTTCATTGCTCCAGGTCAACAGGCCTTACACACCTGGTGCCCAAGGAAGTATTCCTAGCAGTACTTATTGTCCATAGCAATAAAACACTTAAATGTCAATGCAATGGTGTATCCGAATTAATCGGACATGCCGTACTTTTCGCCCCATAAGACGCACCTGACCATAAGACGCACCTAGTTTTTAGAGGAGGAAAACAAGGGGGGGGGAATATTCTGACTCAAATGTTGTAGGAGAGGAGTTTTAAGTGGGGAGGAAAGGAAAAACACTGGAGGGGCAAGCGGCACACGTGGGGTGTGTGGAGAAGGAGGTGGCTAACAATACAGGAGAGGGATTTAAGGGGAGGGAGGAAAGGAAGGCAAAAGTTCTCCCCACCACCACCACCCAAGCCAGCTCTCTCTCTCTCTTTGTCCCACCTGCATGTTTTCCGGCTGCCTATGCGTCCCTGGCATGCTTCCCTGGACACTGCAGCAGCACTGGAGCATGGAGAGGAGGAGGCGGTGGCAGCAGTCGTGAGTTGTGCTCCTAGCCGCCGGAAGCTGATCCGGGTGGGCTGGAGCCTGCACACAATGTGGCTAGGAAGGAATTAGCATGAAGGACACGGTCCTTTCCCCTCTGCTTGCCATGAAGGCAGGGGATTTCCCTGCTCCTTGTTGCGTTTGTCTTCCACCAGCCTCCTTGCTCAGCACGTCTGCTTGCTGCGAGGTGATGCTGTTACGGCCGGTGCTGAGCAATGGAAGGGAAAAGGATTGTGTCCTCCTGCTAATTCCTTCCTAGCCGCATCACCTCGCAGCAAGCAGACGCGCTGAGCAAGGGGAATGGGCCATCGCTGGCCCGATCCGAGCAAACACAGCAATGGAAAGCACAAAAGGGTGGGCAGTAAGACCCTGAGGCAGAGGGCAGGAAAGGAATTCACTGCAGCTGTGCGCTCCCTGCCAGAAAGGGACAAGAACAAAAGGAGGGGAGCAGAGGCTGACTTTAACCGCCCAGTTAAAACCATACATGGCTGGGAGCGCAAAACAAAATAGGAGTCGCAACTGAATCCTTAGGAAGGCGCTACAATAATTAGGCAAGGGGAACAGGGCTGGTGAACAGACGGTAGCCTTGGGATGCTGTACAGCGATCGAGGGGCTCCACACACAAGGACACTCAAATGCCCAAATGCCCACTTTAACCGCACACTCTCTTGTGCAGCAACACGACTCACACGCTTCCACACACACACCAAAATATGCCCGATACAGGAACCCCAGCAGCCTCCTCTCTACAGCCTTCCCTCCTCCATGACGCACAATCCGATTTTTGCCCCTGCACTCGGGCGAGTCGGCTCCAGGGACACCACATTCGCTCCATAAGACACACAGACATTTCCTCTTACTTTTTAGGAGGAAAAAAAGTGCCTTATGGAGCGAAAAATACAAGTTTTTCCTAAATAAAAGTTAATAATTAATTGCAGCGTCCAAGACCCCAAGTTCTGATAATTGGTCATAAATGGAACAATAACATCTGATAACCAATTTTTCTTGCTTAGATGTCTGGCGCTGTAATTTGTCTTTGGGGATATGGCTCTTCTCATCATTGCAAGCAATGCAATTTTAATTCTTGTCACGCAGAGATACCAAAAGGGCATTACACAATGGGAATCTACATGCAAATAGCATGGAATGGCATAATGCATAACAGAGCTGGCCTGCTAATTTTTGATACTAACCATGGTTTGTTTGTTTGTTTGTTCTTTTTAAAAACAACAACAACCTCTAAAACTCTGTAAAAAATATTTAACTCTGTATTCTTGTATCACTGGTTTGTGTGTGCACATGTGTAGATTTTCAGTTTGAAATTTCACAGACTTCTAGTCAAGTCCATAAACCTCAATAGGTCTATTCTGAGTAGGAGTAGAGTTGAATGTCAGCCTCTCTCTCTTGACCTTCATTCACTGTCACCGACAGGAAGCTCCTGCAGCCAATCGGAAGACGCAGAAGCCCCGTCGGATGTTCAGCTTCCAAAAGAACGTTCGAAAATCGGAGCAATCACTTCCGGGTTTCAATCGTTCAGGAGCCAAAACGTTCAAGAAGCTGTTTGAAAACCAAGGTATTTAGCAGTTGTCAAGGTCAATGGCTAGCACAATAAATTTGTTGCTGATATTTTAAGAACTCTTGATTCCTAAGTTGTTAGTTTAAGATTTTGCATGGTTTATTTTATTATGATATTGTACAAGCAACCCTCCAATTGCATGGGAGTTGCGTTCCTGGTCATCACATGCAACAGTTGAGTGTATATAAGCTCATTATGCCTTGTCCTCATCATGCCCACGCCCCTGCCCTGATCTGGCCACTTTTGAGTAACTGCGATACACATGTGCACAGTCATGCATCAACTGAACACATGTAAATGTTGTCTGTACTTCGCTTCCATAATCTATTGGCAATTCATAAGACTCTTTTGTCCAGAAAATAGTGTTGCTAAAATATGCACCAAGACGTAGGAGTTGCATTATCTTAAATAATTATCTACAATAATTATAAAAACCAATCCATCCTTGCCCTGATATTTCACATTAAAAGTTAATATATGGAACAAGGCTTACTGAAGCAATATTCCTCAGCCAACAAAGTTTGATTGATGTCTTGTTCAGAAATGTCATGGGGGAACGTGGTTGTTGTTTTTTAATCTGGTTATGCTACTGATACAGGAGTAATTAGATTTCCAAGGCCTCCAACAAGTTAAGCAATTTGGAAGTAAAAATAAAAGGCAAATGCCTTGGCAAATAAGCACAGAAATATGTACTGGTTACATGTGAAAGGAGAATAATATGCTGCAATAATTACCAGTAAGAAGATTGCAACATAATCTTGTTATAATAGGAAGCAATGCGACAACATACACAATTCCACCCCATCCCCCTTTAAATAGCTGGGTAAATGATTCTGTGCTCAGACCATGATTTGGGATGCGCACATAGAGTATTCACAGAAGATCTGTTTTAAGATAATTATTGGTAATTAGAAAATATGAGGTTTCTCTCATTAAATTCAAGACTGCTTTGGAGCAAGCGCTCAGAGATTACTGCTAAAGTTTTCTTTGCACCTTATCATAAAGACTTAAACAGCAGATGGAAGAGAAGATCATAGGGTCTGCATTTTAAAGCAAGCAAACCTATTCTGCTTTCTTGGACCATGGATCAGAACGCAGTTGTCAATCAGATCCCATAAGTCTCTGAATTTTGTGAGCCAGTTTGGTTTCAGATAAGTATGCACAAAAAATTGTATTTTAGGGAAGCTGTATTGGAAAGCATACAAAAAAGTGTTTTAGAAGTAGTACCAGTGAAGGCAGTTTGTACACATTTTATAATTTAGATTAAGTTTTCTCACATCTTTTAAAGTCATTAAAGGGTCTAGACCTTAAACTGACTGTATGCAAGACTGACATGAAACAGAAATAGGCTAATCTGCCCTTTCCTAGTCAGACCAGACTAAAGTGCATCCCTATTTCCCATTATTTTAACGTCATGTAACACGGGTGGCGCTGTGGGTTAAACCACAGAGCCTAGGACTTGCCGATCAGAAGGTCGGCAGTTCAAATCCCCGTGATGGGGTGAGCTCCCGTTGCTCGGTCCCTGCTCCTGCCAACCTAGCAGATCGAAAGCACATCAAAGTGCAAGTAGATAAATAGGTGCTACTCCAGCGGGAA